GGGAGCCGGCGCCCCCTAGAGGGGACAGGCCCCTGCCCCATTCCCCGTCCCGTGTCCCCAGCAGGGAGGTCCCCATGTCCCCAGCCGCTTACCCGCGTCTCTCCCCCTCCAGGGCATCCTGCTGGTGCGGTTCAACGCGGCGGAGCTGCTGGCCCGGCTGGACGCGGCTGTGGCCCAGCTGCGGGCGGGCGGCTTCCAGCCGCTGCCCACGGAGGCGCTGGAGCCAGGCGAGGTGCGGGGCCTGGTGCTGAGCCCGGCCTTCCAGAGCGAGGTCCTGCCCAACCACACCCTCATCCAGGACTGGCAGCCCTACAAGCCCAGCGAGTCCAACCTGGCCCTGCTGCAGCAGAAGCAGCTGCACTGGGTGGTGGATTGCAAGGCCCGGCCCACGGCCGCCTCCCTCTGCACCCAGCCCTTCCCCATCCCGCTGGGCGAGGACTGGGTCTACCTCAACATCGACGCCTTCGGCCGCCACCCCGCCCCCCTCAAGAGCCAGCTGCTGCACCACCTGCGGGCCCGCCTGCCCGGCCTGCGGGGCAACGTCATGTGCCAACTCTTCCTGGAGCCCAGCCTCTGGGGGGAGCTGGCCGAGTTCTGCCGGGCCGGCCTGCGGCTGGAGCTGGCCAAGGGCTACACCGAGCAGTACCTGCTGGAGGCGGATATCTAGGGAGCTGGGGGGGCGGGGGATACTCCCCCCCTCTCCCCCACACTTCCCGGCCCCACAGAAGCACTTTCTGAGCCTTGTTTCCCATCCCCCACCAACCCGTTCCTGGCCCCCTAGAGGAACTCCCCTAGGAGTCATGACCCTCCCTCCCCACCCGCTTGGCAAGCCCTAGCGACGGTCGATAGAGCTGAGCAACGGTCGGCATGGCGATGGAACCTAGTGATGGTTGGTCCCACGACAGAGCCCAGTGATGGTTGGTATGGCGACGGACCCCACTGATGGTTGGCACAGCAACGGAGCCCACTGATGGTGATGGAGCCTAGCAACAGTTGACACGGTGACAGAGCCCAGTGATGGTTGGCATGGCAATGGAGCCCAGTGATGGTTGATGGAGCCTAGCAACAGTTGATGTGAGAATGGAGCCTAGTGACGGTTGGCATGGCAACAGAGCCCAGTGATGGTTGGTGGAGCCTAGCAACAGTTAACATGAGAACAGCGCCCTGCAATGGTTGACAGACCCTCCCATGGGCTGCTGGATCCCTGCGATGGTCGCCATGCCAACGGAGCCCTAGCAATGGCTGATGGAAACCCGTGTGCAGGGCTCAGCTCTCCCCTCCCCCCAAAAAACCCGCCTGGAAGCCAGGCCTAGAGCCCCCCCCCCCTAGTGATGCCTCTAAACCGAGTAACGTGCAATATAGAGTCTCATAAATGGAGATATATTTATAAAGTCGCCTGCAACAAGAACCCTCCCCCCATCGCGCCACTAGAGCTCCCCCCACCAGCGCTAGAGCCCATCCCCCCCCCCCCGGCACCACACACTAAGCCCTCCCCCACCCCCAGCGCACCCCCCCCCCCGGGAGGGCAGGAGCAGGAATCCTGCATCCCTCCCTTGGGGCAGTAACTTGTGGGGTGCCCCCTCACCCCCGCTTTGGCTTTGTTGTCCCAGGCCGGGCCGAGCCCACCGTATTATTAACGCTAGTCTCTGATCCAGGTTAGATCAGCGAGCCCCCCGCCCCAACTCTGGGGCTGGCACAGAATGGGGGGGCTGGGGGCCCTGGTTTCTTTCTGTAACTAACCCCCCCCCGGTTACCCCCCAAGCTGTGATTCCCTCCCCCCATCCCCAAGTGGCAATAAACCCCTCTTCCCTCAGCCCTGCCTCGCCTCTCATTTCTGCCCAGCGCCCAGACGCTCCCCCAGCAGAGGTGGGGGGCCCGGTGGTGAGAGCCCAGACCAGGGGACAAGTGTCACAGCCGCATCCCCATGTGTCCCGTTCCCCGGCCCCCCCCGAGCCAGCCAGTCCCCGCCCTGGGGCCGGACAGGCCCCTGCCCCATTCCCCACCCTTCCCTAAGCTGGCTGTGGTAGTTGGGCCTTTCTCTGCCATGAGGATCCGATGGGGTGGGGGGGCCTCACCCAGGGCACCCCTCTCACACCAGCACCAGCTGATTTAACCCCCCAGGATGGGGGCAGGGGTGTGTGTGTCTGGGGATATGGGGAGAGGGGTGTGTGTGATATTTTCCCCAAGCCATACAGACAAAGGGGCGCTCGCTCTGTGCTGTTAAATTAACCCTCAGATTGCGCCCCCCCCCCAATGCCGCAGAGAGGGAAACTGAGGCACCAGCGTGCCCAGAAGTCACGGGTGTACACTGGGGTGTACACACACACACACACACACACACACGGGTGCTCTCGTGCGCACACAAAGACACAGATCACAGACGCACAGACACGGACTCCATCCCACGCTTCCGTCAACGCACCACAAGGGGGCACTGGGGTCTGGCTTCTGCGGCTGCCTCCATCCATCTCTGGCTCCTTCTGGTTCTTCACTTTTACCACCACCTTGCTGGGAGCTGGGCTTCAGGAGCTGAGATGCAGCCACCTCTGGGGCGGGGCGGCTGGTTACACAGGGACCCCTCTGTCTCCACCCAAGTGAGCCACTATCTCAGGCTTCAGAAGGACTAAAAGGTCAATTGGCTCCTCAACAGCACCAGACGCTGGTTGGAGGGTTCTCTTCTGGAGAGAACCCAGGAGTCCTGGCTCCCAGCCCCCCTGCTCTAACCCACCAGCCCCCACTCCCCTCCCAGAGCCAGGGAGAGAACCCAGGAGTCCTGGCTTGAGGACAAGGGGGCGCAGGTTCTCACTTGGGAAGCACGAGCTGCCGGGGCACTTGGGTCATGTTCGTCTTCCACTTGCCCACCAGCTGGGCGTCGAGAACCCGGGTCAGGGCAGCCAGGGGCACCTCTCGGCGGTAGGGGGCAGCGATGAGCATACTGAGCGTGTCCCCGTGGTACGGCAGCTCCACCACGTCGTAGTCCACTTGGTCTGGGGTGAGGAACTCGCCTGCACGGAGCAGGGAGAGACGGGGTTAACAGGTCAGGCCCGCCCCCAGACTGGGTGTGTGTGTGTAATTCTTCCCCCTTCCTTGGGGAGTGGATGGAGAGGTTGGAGACCCACCAACCACCCTCTCCCCTGCCCCCAGCAGGGGGCGCCACTCACCGTAGTTGAACTTGGCCGTCTGCGCCATCATGGGCACCACCACGCTGCTCCCGTCCGACTTGTGGAAGATGCGCTGGCGCGTGGCCGCCTCCGGGAAAGGCAGCTTCCAGAGCCCCTTGAAATACACAGCGTTCACCAGCACCAGGCGGGTCAGGTCGTCCACGGTGCCCGTCCCCAGGAAGTCACTGATCATCCCTGGAACCATGGGTGGGAGGGTGGTTTCAGAGGGCAATGGAACCCAGGAGTCCTGGCTCCCAGCCCCCCTGCCCCGCCCCAACCCAACCGCCCCCACTCCCCTCCCAGAGCCGGGGAGAGAACCCAGGCGTCCCAGCCGCTCACCATGGGTGCTGTCCTTGACCCAGTCGTTGATGATGAAGCGAGCCCGCTCGCCCTCCGTGAAGTTGACCTGTTTGACGGTCTGGCGGAAGGCACGGGCGAACGTCTTCATGAACCCGGGGGCCAGCCCTAGGTCGCGCTGCACGAAGAGCGCATCGGCGACGTCCACCTTGTCCTGGTTCTTCGGGGCCGTCAGCTCCTTGCGCAGCCACCGCAGGGCCTGGGGGATACCCCGCTCTGCAGGGGAGGCATGGCTTGTCAGGGCAACGAAGGGTTAATGCTATGAAGGATCCCTTGCCCAGTGTGGAGACGGGGCAGAGCAGCAGGTTACCCAGGGACCCCTCGCCCGGCGCTGAGATGCGGCCACCTCTGGGGCGGGGTGGCTGGTTACCCAGGGACCCCTCGTCCGGCACGGAGATGCGCCCACCTCTGGGGCAGGGCAGCGGGTTACCCAGGGACCC